GTGAACTCCCAGAATTCCCCAGCCAGCAGAGTTCTGAGAGTTGAAGTCCACCCATCCGCAGGTTGCCCAGGCTGAGGAACACTGCTGCCAGGGCAGCCTCTCCTGTTCATTAGACATCTGAGGAAGGAAGCTGGGGGCCACGGCAACCAAACCCTAAGACATCTGGAGGGTGCTAGAAAGAAGACAGCTGTTCTCTCAACCCAACAAGGCACAGCAGCTGTTCTATTCAAGATGGAAACCGTGAAAAGATCTCATGTGATGGCATTCTGGATCCACAGAAAGGAAAACCATCTCTAGCTTTGGAAATCCGATGCCCTGTTTCCTGGCCTGCCCTTAAGTGCAGCATCCCGCCAAAGGGCTGGAAGATCTTACTTCAGCCGCGAAATGCCTCCCGCTGATCGTGTGCTCGGATCCTTCCTGCTTGTTCCGATTCCCCCAGTGTAAGTGGAGTTGCGCTGCTGAGTATTGGAAGGAGAAATTCCGGATGCGCATGGCCGAAGAGAGATTCATTTTTACTACAGAAGAAGAGAGGAAAGAGGAGGTGGAGTGGACACACGGCAGCATTAGCCCCCCCCCAGGAGATCCCTGAACTTTGGAAAGCGCCCGAGGTGGCCTTTCTTTAAGGCTCAAGCATTGAAAACCAGGCTTCCCCAGCTTTGTGCCTCCAGATGTGTGAACCTCGATGCTGTGATCCCTAGCTAGCATGGCCTGTGGAGAACATCTGGAGGCCAGGGATATGGCTTGATTAGTCATGCTCCTGGCCCTTCAGGTTCCCTCAGAGTCTCCCTCCTCCGTCACTGTTACCTGAATGGCCATTGTTGGTCAAGAGGAACTTGACCTCCGAGGAGACGTTGTAGCCTTCCAGCTCTACTGGCAGAAGGGCGGAGTCATAGTGGAGGATGTCATTGTGGAAGTCAATGGGAGACTGGAAGACTCCTCCGCAAAAGGGGTACTTCTTTGGCCACACTTTTTCCCCATCAGGACCTACGATAGAAGACCTCCAGATGCTCAAGTCAAGGTAGCGTTCCATGGGTCCGTTCCCCCACTCAGCCGCCAGCCCTTGCCACAGGAGGCCAGCAGGCTCCAGGCAGACAATGAAGACCCTGCAACTGGCAGCCAGCACAAAGACCGCCCCCCCAAACTGAGTAACTATCAGGTGCTTGAGAAGAAGCCAGGGGAGAGGATCGGGAAGATCCACTTCCCAATTCCTGCTGAGTCAGTCTCTCTCTCTCTCTCCTCTCTCTCTTGGCCTTGCCCACGTCTGAGGGAGACGATGGTGGCCAGGATAAGGCTGGAGGATCAAGAGCACCTGAGTTCTTTGAGCAAGAAAAAACCGGAGTAGCAAACGGTTCCTATCTTGCCTCATCAGCAGAGTTGCCTATTCTGCACTTTCAGCATTGATTCATCGTTGATCTGGGAGATACGTAGCTAGTTCTGCCTTTCCTAAGAATCGTGTGTTCTTGCACAAATCCTTTTTTCTCAGGAAGCTCCTCCTTTTAAGCCAGAGGCCTTCAAACTTGGCAACTTTTAAGACTCGTGGGCGTCAACTCCCAGAATTCTCCAGCCAGCATAACTGACTCTCTTGTCATCCCTTCCTCTGCAATCTCTCCACTTAGATCAGAGGTCTCCAAACTTGGCCACTTTAAGACTTGTGGACTTCAATTCCCAGAATTCCCCAGCCAG